GAGGAGAACAGCAGCAGCACTAACACACTCCCCAGCCACAGCAGAGCAAATCAAGAACCTCCTACACCACATGTCCAGCACCAGCTGTAGCTCTCCCACAGACAGAGTGTGTAGAAGCTCTGAAAGCCAATATTCCAGGGATATCTTGTGTTTAATTTGAGGGAGGCCTCAAAAAAAACCCCCAGATCCCAAACCAGCACTGCTCAGCTTTCAAAGTTGTTTGTAGTCAATTAAGGACCCTTAAGTCTTCAACAGAGTTCAAAACACTCTCCTCGTAGGCTGCACAGCCTGAGGTTTTGCACACTAGTAACACTATTGATCATATTGATCACCAGGGAGAAGGGCCAACTGCAACACGAAGCTCAGTTTTGAAGCAGGCCAATCCCTGGGACAACTGCTCTCTCTTTTTCTCCTCCTCTCCCCCACAAAAAACCCTGTCCAGCATTGTCCTCGACACCACTACAGCCTCAGCTGAGAAGTGTGAGGTGAGGGTGCAATAGGCATTCCCCTCGCTTTGGTGAGACCCTCACACTTTTCATTGTGAGGTCTCTCTGGTACAAACAGTTAACGTGTCACTGTTAAGCCCAACCCGTTTTTACCACTGGAGTAGTGCAGCAACCCAGCTACAGGGTCAGCATGGGGAGAGCCTCCCCGGCTTTATACCCAGACTCAGCAGGGCGCTTCGGTTCCGAGGGAGAACATACAAGGAGAATTTCTGGGGAGAAATGGGAGGAATGCCACTGAGCAGCAGATCTCACCAGCTGGGCAGCCAAGACACTGGAGAACTCGCTGTTCATTGCATAGGGAAGGGCTGTCTGTGCTCTTGAGCCGTACGTGGTCTGAAACCTCTTCTTGATCTCATTCAGGAAGTTGAAGGCTCTGGAGCGTTCGAAATCCTGGAGGGAAAAGAGCAGACCACGTCCAGAGCTGTGTCAGGTCAGGAATAACGAAGCGTGCAGGGCACAAAGCCAGCTGTAGAGAAAATTATCAGCTCTTAACAGGCATGCTGCCCGTAACGGCCCGGGATTTCACTGGTTATCCCGGGGTCTGAAGACCAGCCAGGTTTCAGTCTCAGCTTCCTGGACTCTGGTTGGCAGTGGGGTATCCCCAAGTCCTAATTCTGTGCCTGGTACCTTTTTGCAGTGAGGGAGAAGTTTTTGCTTCAATGCTTCCAGAACCGAGGAGTACGATGCCTGTTCCACTGACAGTTAAAGGCCAACCTCTACATCTAGGTCCTGCCACGCTGGGGCTGCTCAGAGAGAAACCAGGCAAACCCAAGAACTTAACCTCAGAAACTATTCACAGGCATTTGAGTTTCAGGCTGAGACTTTGAAGCTGGAACTGATGTGAATGAGAATACGAGCAGTAGCTCCGAGGGGGAAAAATGACCCCTCAGATTAGCACCCACTATTGATTCGCTTTGGGATACAGACACACAGAAAGGTCAAAACCTGCAAAAAGCCTGTCTGTGCAATCGCTGCGACCAAAATACTTACGTCATCTGTGATGCAGAGGTATATAATCCTGTCTTGGCAGATGTAATGAAACAGATAACTGCAGAGAAGAAAAGAAAAAAGGAAAAAGGGTCATTTGGAGCTGCCACAGGACTAACCTTCTAGAAGACGCTACTGCCTGCAGGGCCTTCGAGGGCTGGGGAAGTAGAAGAGCAAATTCCAGTTATTCTACAGGAAATCACAGAGATGCCAACACATCCCAGGCGCCTTTGTTCAGGTAAGAGTCTCCATTCCGATAAGCTACACTGAATTAGAGACCACCTCCATGACAAAGAACCACTGACCTCACGTACTTCACAGCTCAGCCATAACCCTGTGGGATGCTTAGTTCCCAAACAACTTCGGTTCCACATCCTCCACCTATTTACTTGTAAAAACCAAACCTCGACAGGATGCCCGGGGGTAGAATTGATGTCTAATCCTAATCAAAGCGCATCCAAGCATCCACATGTGACGAGAGCTGCAGTTAACTGGAGTGCCCAGTTAACTTGAGCGACCCTTGCTGGTGCAGGGACTTGGCTTCGTTAGTCTCGGTTGTGCGACTGCTGGGTCGTGCTGCCTAACAGGCAAAAGCAACCGCAGCAGAAAACAAATGAGAGAGAACAATCATCAAGCTCAGCAGGCCTGACTCATGTGGCTGGGTTAACTATTCATGTAAAGTTGCCTTCGGTGGTGCTGAGCAAACACAGATGTCAGTTAAATGCAAACCCTGGTATGCTGAAAAATGCTACAAAATGGTTCAAAGCAATGTTTTCCTATCAAAATTAAACCAAGCTGTTATTTTAGACCCACCAGAAAAAAAACCCAAATACACCACGGCTTGTCTGCAACTAAACTCAAACCAGAGCTGACCACAGCTTTCTACATTAACTCACTGGCTTTAGCTGTGGGGGTTTTTTTATTACATTTGTCCCCCCAGCACCATTTGATGCTCCAGTAGGTGAAAACGTGTGTGTGAAAATATTCAATTCCCCCCTAAAGAGATGGCCAAGAACTCTTCCCTCCCCTCTCCTAGAGGAAAGGCAGGTTGGCAGATTCTGCCCAAAGAGGTGGTTGTCCAAATGACAGAAAAAAAAAAGCCAACAGAGGACTTGTCCGAAGACATTGCTCTTAGCAGAGGAGACGCCCTCACGCTGAGCTCGGTGCCCAGAGCTGCAGAATGGCACCTGGGGTTCCAACAGCGTGATGCAAAGCAGAACAACCACAAACTGCAGTGATCTTCTGCAGCATTTGTTACATCCTCATGAAGGAAACAGTGAAGAGCAAAACACCGCACACCTGACAGCACGCGCTGCAACCGTCGATGCATCAGTCACTTCCCTCTGTGCTCCCCCTCGCCAAAGTCAAACCAGTCCCAATCACAATTCCAGTTTTCATCTATAAAACTCAACTTTGTAGTTGGCCGAAGAACACTCAAGCAAAGTTAAAAGAAAAGCAAACAACTCCACCTTTAAAATTACAGTAGGTAAAAAAAAAAACACAACAAAAAACAAAAAGAGATTCAGCATCCAAAGTACTTTAGACCACAGGGCAGGCAGCTTCCTCACAACACTCTCCTGCAGGGACTTCTGGTGCTCCCAGACAAGGAAAGGACATGGGAAGCCTACCCCAATTCCTATTTTTTGTATCCTCAGGCAGCCAGAACAGCTTTAACACAACAGCTTGGGCAGCACGGAGAATCCAGCCATGCTGCCAATTCCACAGGCAGAGCTGAAGCGAGGTCCAACGCTTCTAAATTTGCTTTCTCCACTGTTGGTGTTCCAGCACAGACTTACCTACTTTCCACGGGCAGTACGTCAGCACAGTCTCAGGCGGTGTCACATCTAATCCCTTCATTCCATCAACACGGACTGTTCAGAGATCTGTACAAGCCCGGGAAAAGTTCATCCCACAGCCTGGATCTGCAGGAGCTCAGGATGACCCTTTAACAGCTGCCAGCACAACTGAAAGCAACCAGGATCCACAAGAGATCGGAGAAGGGTTTTACCTAAAGCCACGCTCAAGCCTCAGAAAAGCCTCCACAAGCCAAATGCCAAAGACTCCAGTGGTTTGATACCCACTGCTGAGCACCCTCCAACTCGCTTCAGAGTTGTATAAAAATAAAAAACTTGATGTTGTACCAACTGCCTTGGTGCTTCCTGCTTAACCTAAATTCCAATCCTGGTTATGCTGTGAAGTTCTGGGGGAAAAATCTAGCTCCTGAGCTGCCTGCACATTCAACAGGCAAACACAGCCAGAGGCGAGCCTGGCCTCACTCCACATATTTCTCCCCTCGTGCACGTTCACTCGTCTCTCCTCCCACGCCCAAGAGAGAAGCGTCACTCACTTCCCATGGGAATAGGTCAGTTTGTTGTTTTCAGATGGAATTTTCGCCAGGATCTGCTCTGTCACCTCCAGGAAGTTTCCTCCGCACCAGGCGTGTTTGGCAAGGATGGTCGTGCCCCTGGCCACGACAGCAAACAGGATGGCCATGACGTCCCGCTACCTGCAAAGAAAAGCGCGGCAAGAATTAGACTCGTGTTCTTTGCCACAGAAAGCATCGTCATCTGAACAGTTTTCTCTCAGCCCTCAGCGTAACGGGAGGGAGGGGTAAGCTCGTTCAGTGCTTCAACAGGACACCATTACCAGAAAGCTTCTCTCATTGCTCCTTTTAGGTTCTGTTCAGAATGACAGCAAGACTACGAGAACTTCTAGAAGGCTTTTCTTATTGCAACTGCCCGCTGTCCTACAGTCAGCGGTCCCATAGGCTGCCTACCTTGCTCCCACCTCGACTTCTAGCTGGGAGGACATTCTTTTGCTCTCCAGCTGATGCTTCAGTTTGGGTTTTTTCTTGCTTGTTATCGAAAATGCTCCCTGCAACCAGCAAGCACCACTTCACAAAGGAAGGAACTGCCTCGCAGCTCCGGTAAGGGCAGCTCATTGTACAGACCAAGCCCCTTGACCCCAGCACATCACTGTTGAGGGGCAAGGCCTTGGCTTTGATTGCTATCAAACCAAGGGAGAAAAGCCTGCTGCTCGCGTTGAGCCACACCACGCACATCCCCTTTTAATGGTCTGGAGACACTCGCCAAGCGTGTGTTGCCCCGGGACTTGTGTACCAGCATGTGACCTGCTCTTCCCAGGGTGACACAGGCATGTTTGCAAACCCATTACCCGCAGCAACACGCCGCTCCTCCGAGCTAACATTCTCGCCCGCGTATCGAACTGGACAGGTTACAGTGTGCAGGCTCCAGAGCTGGCAAAACATGCCTGCTGTCATATGGAGAGACACACTTAATCAGATCAAGTATCATCGCGTTAATCTACTGACAGATCCAAGATTTAACATGTGAAACCACATGTCAGCCCACAGCTGTGGCATCTGCTCGGCTGATCCAGCACATCCACAAGCTTCTTTTCTGCTTAGGAAAGGCTTAGGAGGACTTTTGACCCTGCAAAACCCAAAAAATCTCATTTTTCACTTTGCACTTGACTGCTCTTGTATCGCCTTGCCTTGTTTTGCATCTACAAACGTCTGCACTCTGGCTGGAGAGATCACATGTGCCTCTTGCAGTGCAACCCAGCAGCTCAGAGACCTCTCTAGACATCAGTCCGGCAGCAGAGAAGTGGTGATTTGGCTTCGGGATCTGAAGACCTCGGGCAGAAAGACTGACCATCAGCTGTGCCCAGCCAGACTTTCCACCCCTCTGGCACTGTCCACAGCGACCTATCGATCTCTGCCACATCGGGGCTTGGTCCTACCAAGCGCTGTGCGGGCAGATCTGCCCCGAAGAGCTCGTATTTCCTGTGAACCGACGCACAAAGCATCACAGCAACAGCGGGAGAGGAGGAATGTGGAGCTGTCAGCAAGGCTGTGAGGTTGGGATACAACCCCTGCCCCACCGCAGTGGGGCTCGCTCGGTCACTCCACGCTTGACAGATTCAGCTTGGCTGGCAATAATCAGGTCCTCTCTCCCAAACCTGCCCCAGGTTTAGGAGCTCGACATGGGAGAAGCAAAAGAATAAGTTTGTGGATTTACTTGGAGAATCGATTCCACAGCTATTCGGAGCCAGCACTGCCAAAGGGAACAGAAGGCCAAGGATGAGTGTGGGGCCACAGCAAGAGGTCTCGAAGGACAGTGCTTTGGAGCAGAGCGCTCAGCCAAGCACACTCGAGAAAAGCTGAAAAAGTGAGAGAAGTGGCAGTGAAGGGGAAGGGAGAACACACCTGCCCAAGACTCGCACCCTGCAGACTCCCGTTCCCAGATAAGCTGTTCTCCTTCGCTCTTCCTGACCGGTAACACAACAAGAGGGCAGCGCCGGCCGGAGAGTGAAGAAGCACCAGAGCACTTGGCAGCGGTTCCCCGAAGAGTTTTGCTGCTTTCGCTTCCTCCCGGCCTAACGCTGGCACTGCCCCGCACCCCGCGTGGGCCCCTTCGCGTCTGCCGAGGGCACGGGGACCCCCCTGGTGCTGCTCTGCTTGGCTCACTGCTGTTCCCAGAACAAAGGCAACCCACTGCTGCTTGATCTGACGGCTTCCCTCGTCCTCACTGACTGCGTCCAAGCACTCAGGAGTGACTCGGGGTTTGCTCCCCTGCCTCGCCCCCTCCCTTACAAATCGAGCAAGCTCCACCTCAGTTCAAGTCGGTGCAAAGGGGTGACAAACAAGTTCGGGTTTGTTCCCTCCCACAGTCACAGGTGTGTCGGCTGGCAGGCTCACCGCTGCCCTCTGACATCACACCCGTCAGCACTGCAGGAGAAAAAATAATCAATTCTTCTACATCTAAGATGGGATCCTTAATCACAAGGACAGATGGCGCTTTCTGTGGTCAATTCGATAATGTCTGTGTCCACCTGAGGACTATGGGAAAGCAAGGGTTTATCCCCTTATGCATGAAGGAAACTCCCAGCGCAAGGGGACCTAAGGAGAAAGAATATAAAACAGAGCAGAAAGTCGTGATTGCTCACTCGCTGTGATACAGAAATGAAAAGAAAGTTCAAGAACAGGTCCCGGCAGGAGGAAGTAACTCCTCACACAATGCATCCTCTGAAGCTCGTTCCCACGTGGTATCATGCAGTAAGTGAATTCACAAGCTGAGAAAGTAACTGCCAAGTTTACGGAGGAAAAGAATCGCTATTAAACAAATATCACCCAGCAGCTGCTCACCAGAGCCCAAGAGTTTATCATGAGTTTCTTCTGCTCTTCCCTCAGCATCTCACCGGTCACTGCCGAGCCAGACCTACCTTTGCTCTGATTCGACGCAGCCATTCACAACCCTGAGAACTGCTCACTCCACACAAGTTTTGTCTTTCTTTTTTTCCCCCAGGGAGAAATACTATGACTGCGAGTAAGTAAATACCTTCAGGCAGCAAAGCAGGTGGCCCACCAAGTCACATCCACCATCCCGCCCCAGTCCAGGTTGGACTGTCACGGCACTCAAGCCTCAGGGCTGCTCGTGCTCAGCCCACTGCTCTTCTCCTGCAGAACTAGTATCACACAAAGGCCTAGGGAGTCCCAGCACTCCCAGTTTGGAGCAGATGCCTTAAAAGAGTTTGAAAACGTGCTCCAAGGCACCCTGTCTTCTCCTGCAACGTCTGACCTACCACGACCATGACGTGACAGGCCTGGCCACGTCTCTCGCAAAGCCTGACCACAACCTCCTCCTTCCAGCGTCTCTGAACCGGCCGGCCCAGATCACATCTCACGGCTGCAGGTGTCGCAGAGCTGCTCCACTACAGAAACGCCAAACTTCCTTCCAGAAAGCTGCACTCAGAGAGCCCCCGGACTGCTCCACCTGCACATCCACAGACCACTTGGGGGTGCTCCCAGCACCGAGCTCTGCCACATCCTACCACAGCAGACTCACAGGGCCAACCTAGCAGAGCTCGCTTTTTATTTTTTAAGCCAGCCTTAAATTGTTGCATCAACCACACGGTAATTGCGTTAAAGCAGGGAAAGCAGTCACAGATTCCTGTGATATTTTGCTACCTCTGAATTAAAAAAGCTGCTTTCAGCTCTTCAAAGCACAGTGCTAGATGTGCAAGCCTGAGGGTCACACAGCAAGACTCACCTACCTCTAGTTAAACAGACCTGGAGAGACCAAAAGCTTTAGCCTGATCCTCACAACTTCATCTGAGATCGGAGCATCTGGATGTAGCAGTGAGCTGAAGTAGGGATTACTCAGAGCTAAAACATAAAGGAATGAGTAAACTCCTTAGAACCTTCCTGCAAGAGCCCTTATCCCCACCTGAAAAAGCTGGAGCAGAGGAGAAGCCAGGCAAACACCACGTGTACAGACAAAGATCAAACAAAACTAAACCTTGGATAACTTGAGTCAAACGCTTATCACACCAGAGAAAGGGGCAGCCACACAGCAGATTCTGATCTTGACAAAAAGAAACGATTAACTGCCATGCAACTGCCATGCAACCGTTCCAAGCTTCTCCTAATTAAAGAGACAGCAGCTCACTCCTGTCTGACGAGGCTACAGAAAGCACAAACATTGTTCCAGCCAAAAAGTAATACTTGTGGCCCCAAATAATAAATAATTCAACTGTCCAGTCCTTCACAAGTGTTCCTTAGACTCAACCCCTACCCTACACCTTATCTTTGATTCATTTAGCCAGCAGATGCAAAATACACTTTATTCTGCTCTCTACTCACTCGACACCTGATCTCTTCAGGTGCTTCAGTTTTCCTAACAACAGGGAGTCCAAGTCAAAGACTTTGGGAACAGTTACAACAGCACGCCACTCCGCAACACCACTAACTAAACCAAGAGGAATTTGTTACACGATTGTGTTCCCTCAGATCCACCCAGGCAGTTGTCTGTGGTGTTTCGGCTGGCCCAGCGACCGAGTGGGGACTGGGGGGGTGTGCTACGATGCCGGGTCACAGCCAGGAATAAACAAACACGACTGAGCCTCCTGAGCAATCCGGTGACCGCCAAGTATCACGAAACCAATCTCTTCACATCGCAGTCACTCAGGCAGGACCAACAGAAAGGAGCAGTTGCCGAAATAAAAACATCCCAACACAAACCCTGCGCAAAGCCAGCGACTAACCTCAGAACTGCGAAGCTCACACAAGCAACAAGACACCTCAGTTCTCAGAGCAGAACAACTCCGGGTTCAGCCCCAGGATTATAAAGTGGTTCAGACAACTGAAGGCCTCCGTTCTTTTCACGCTGGGTACCGGCGGCACTCACGGCAGCCAGGCGCGCGTTCAGCAGCGCCACGAGTAGGTGACACTCGCTCACACCGTGGGCTCTCACGGTCCTGCAGCAGCAAGGAAACCCCCCCCGCCGAGCTCACGGTGCCCAGCCTGGGTTAGGACACAGCAGCCACGAACCTGGCAGCAACACCTGCCCCCAGCTCTGAGCAGAACGGATTAAACAAAGTAAAACAGATTAACAGAGCATGTTTCTCTGTATAACCAGCCCTGTAAGACTCATGTGTTGCTTTTGTTAGGGATACAAATCTATTCAGCTGCTGGCGAA